CTGCTGTAGAGATAAAATAATTAGGGCATAAGGCGGAGAGTAATTGCCTAAAAACTGATTAAGTGAAAGAAACCAAGTAATCAGTTAATGTCTCTTAATCTTTCTGTTGGTTTAGATTTAATTAATATATTTTAAGACCGAGAGTTTTTTTCTTCCTAAATTTGACCAGATTCCATTAAAAACTTAGAATTAAAATTTCAAACTCAGGTGTTCACAGGACTCAGATGTTAAATGAGGGAGCGAGGCCAAGTGGAGACTGGTAATATCAGGAGAATACATGCCCTGGTTAAGTAGCAGGTATTTTTTAGAACTAGCTAATTCTGGGGATTCAGACTAGTTTTGCAAGATCAGATTCCCGATTTTGATTGAAAAATAAGGATGTTTATATGAAGTGCCTTCATTTTTAAATGTTAGCAAGTAATTTCAAAAAATTTTGAAATACAGCCAGGCATAGTGGTTCATGCCTTTAATCCCGGTAATTTCAGAGGGCAAGGCAGGAAGATCAGTCTGGGCAACATGGCAAGACCCTGTCTCTACAAAAAATTTAAAAATTAACCAGGTGGACCCGGTGTGATGGCTCACGCCTGTAATCCCAGCACTTTGGGAGGCCAAGGCAGGTGGGTCACAAGGTCAAGAGTTCAAGACCAGCTTGACCAACACGATGAAACCCCGTCTCCACTAAAAATACAAAAATTAGCTGGGCATGGTGTCACACACCTGTTATCCTAGCTACTCAGGAGGCTGAGGCAGGAAAATCGTTTCAACCCAGAGGCAGTGAGCCGAGATCACGCCGTTCCGCTCCAGCCTGGGCAACAGAGTGAGACTGTGTCTTAAAAAAAAAATTAGCCGGGTGTGGTGATGCGTGCCTATAGTCCTATCAACTGGGGAAGCTGAGGCAAAAGCATTGCTTACACCCAGGAGGTCAGAGCTGCAGTGAGTTATGATTGTGTCAGTGCCCTCTAGCCTGGGTGACAGAGGGAGATCTTACCTTTAAAAAAAAAAAAATGGCCGGGCGCGGTGGCTCAAGCCTGTAATCCCAGCACTTAGAGAGGCCGAGGCGGGTGGATCACAAGGTCAAGAGATCGAGACCATCCTGGTCAACATGGTGAAACCCCGTCTCTACTAAAACTACAAAAAAATTAGCTGGGCATGGTGGCGCGTGTCTGTAGTCCCAGCTACTCAGGAGGCGGAGGTTGCGGTGAGCCGAAATCGTGCCATTGCACTCCAGCCTGGGTAACAAGAGCGAAACTCCGTCTCCAAAAAAAAAAAAAAAAAATGACCGGATGTCGTGACTCACACCTGTAATCCCAGCACTTTGAGAGGCTGAGGAGGGCAGATTACCTGAGGTCAGGAGTTTGAGACCAGCCTGGGCAACAATGCAAAACCCCATCTCTACTGAAAATACGAAAATTATCCAGGCATGGTGGCATGCACCTGTAATCCCAGCTACTCAGGAGACTGAGTCAGAAGTATTGCTTGAACCCAGGAGGCAGAGGTTGCAGTGAGCCAAGATAGCCCCACTACACTCCAGCCTAGGTGACAGAGTGAGACTTCCTCTCAAAAAAAAAAAAAAAAAATTTTTTTTTTTTAATACAATGCAAACCAAACTACTTCTGGGCCAGGTGTATCTTGTGAGCAGTCAGTTATTGATCCTTGATATGGGCCATACTAACCAGGAATGCTCTTAACCTGTTTCTTCAAAACTTACTGATGTGCATGCTCATATAGAGGATTTTGGAAGGGTTTCATGAAGACTCTAATGTTTGTTTGTTATATTATACATTATGTATGATGAATAGAATCATGAATATGTTAGTGCATGCATCCTTTTCTAGAAAAGTCTTTGTGATTTCTGAAAGGGAAAATTGATTTTTCTTCTAGTGTGTAAAGAAGTAATATGTTTTCCTGGATAAAGGGAAGTTAATAATGCCTCTAATCTTCTTAGGCTTTCAAAGAAAGCCATTGCCAACACTATTACAAATTATTTTTTTTAATAGTATGTGAGGTGAGGGTTCTCTGGCTTTATGAATTCAGGACAGAGTATAAAAATAAACTGGTGTTTCTGGGAAGTTAGGAACATAGCAATTCTCAGGGATTGAGACTGAATGACTGACTAGACTGATGCAACATCTTTATGGAGCTAGATATGGAGGTGGAGAGGTGTAGTGGATCCCAGCTAACAGAAAGTATTGTGCCGCTTTATTGAGATGTGACAGTGGCATGTATCTTTTGAGACTCCTTGAGTGTGCAGAAACATGCATATGAATACTGTGGTAAGTTGAAAGAAATAAACACAGAAAGGAGCAGACTCAAACTCACTTCCTGGATATAATTACAATTTAGGAAAGACACTTGGTAATTTATATGGGCTTTTTCCCAAATCGTGGGTGTAATGTGATGCCCTCTGCAAAATGTTGGCTACTAAGTGGAGGAAACAAATCCTTCTGTACTCATACAAAACCATAGTATGTTCCCTCGTGAAAAACATTTTTCAATTTAACAGTCCTCATCCTTCAAGAATACAAAGCAGGGAGAGTTTGAAAATGTCAGTGAAACTCTTGGGACTCAGTCAGAAAGAAGGAAGGTGTTAAATGATACATGAAATTAACTTTTCAAAAAAACACCTTTGTAAGGTGTTGCCTTACAAAGCTATCTTATTTTCTATCTTAAGATAGAAAAAATTAAAAGAAATACTGCCATCACATGTGATCACTAAACCTATGAAATTTATCCCAGAATATAATCTGGGTTGAAAATATATTTGGATATTTTCCAATTTTTGGATGAATTGATAAGATAAAATTTTTGGATAAATTTATTGCTGGTGTTAAGAAATTTTTAGTTTGACAAGAAACCTTAGGGCCGGTAAGGTAGAATAAGGACTGCACTAAAACTTTTTCAGTGATGAAGCCTAGCTGTGTGATCTTGAATAAGTTACTTAACCTTAGTGCCTTGATTTTTAAAATGCTACCTACTTTTCTGGGTAATAGTGACAACTAAATGAAATTTTATATATTTATATATGTAAATCACTGGACCCATATTTCTAATAATGATATATATTAGGATGAATTGACTCATTTACTCTTCATCACTGGCTTATAAAAGATACATTGCAGCCGGGTGCGATAGCTCACTCCTGTAATCCCAGCACTTTGGGAAGCCGAGGCAGGCAGATCATAAGAGGTCAGGAGTTCGAGACCAGCCTAACCAATGTGGAGAAACCCCGTTTCTACTAAAAATACAAAAAAATTAGCTGGGTGTGGTGGCGCATGTTTGTAATTCCAGCTACTCGGGAGGCCGCGACAGGAAAATCGCCTGAACCCAGGAGGCAGAGGTTGCGGTGAGCCAAGATCATGCCATTGCACTGCAGCCTGGGCAATGAGAGTGAAATGCCTGCCAAAAAAAAAAAAAAAAAAAAAAAATTACTAATAGTACTAATAATACTCTTTTCTGGAATAAGACATGAGTATATGAAGTCTTAATCTCTCTGGGAAGCAGCTGCACCCGCAGATGAAATGATCATCCAATTAGGCCACTTTTAGGTTTGTGAGAATCACGTGAGTTAATGAATGGTAAAGTGGTTTGAAAACTGAAGAATTATATAAGTTTAATATAACATTATATGTAATTCACTTAATAGATAAGAAAAGGCCCTGTAGACCCACAAATAACTTTTCTCCTTTTTCTTTGATCCTTCAATTAAAAGATATACATAGTACATTATATATATTAGGTGGAAAGATTTTTTTTTTTTTTTTTTTTTTTGAGACGGAGTTTCGCTCTTGTTACCCAGGCTGGAGTGCAATGGCGCAATCTCGGTTCACCGCAACCTCCGCCTCCCGGGTTCAGGCAATTCTCCTGCCCCAGCCTCCTGAGTCGCTGGGATTACAGGCACGCGCCACCATGCCCAGCTAATGTTTTTTTTTGTATTTTTAGTAGAGACGGGGTTTCACCATGTTGGCCAGGCTGGTCTTGAACTCCTGATCTCGTGATCCACCCGCCTCGGCCTCCCACGGTGCTGGGATTACAGGCTTGAGCCACCGCGCCCGGCCAGATTTTTATTTTAGTCTTCTAACATGAAAATTCTTTTACAGCTGAGAAATTTCTTGAATCTGTGGAAGGAAATCAGAATTATCCACTGTTGCTTTTAACATTGCTGGAGAAGTCCCAAGATAATGTTATCAAAGTATGTGCTTCAGTGACATTCAAAAACTATATTAAAAGAAACTGGAGAATTGTAAGTATTTTGTGAATACATAATTTAATACCCTGTATGTTTATAAGGTTGATATAAGCAGTGTTCTTCAAAGATAAGCCACGTACTTGTAGTCCCAGCTACTCTGGAGACTGAGGCAGGAGAATCGCTTAAGCCCAGGAGTTCAAGGCTGCAATGAGCTGTGATTGCACCAGTGTACTCTAGCCATTGTGACAGAATGAGACCTGTCTCAAAAAAAAAAAAAAAAAAAAAAAAAAAAAAAAAAAAAAAAAAAAAAAAACGGAAAAGAAAAAAAGATTCAAATATGGATCGGAGATAAAATTAAACAGGACCCTTTCCAAAGTTTCTGTTGTTTTCTTTAAATTTACATAAATTTCTTCAGCTTCATATCTGAGGTTGGCAGGGAGCGAGACTTGGTCTTAGTCTCCATTATGGTTGGAATTCACCCTTTACTCACTGCCTAGTGAAAAGACGTGGGAAGACAGTCTGAATAAATGAAGTGATTTCTATTGGAAAATTAAAGCTGAGAAGAAATCAGATACTTAGAAAATTTGCAGAATGCAAAATAATTTAGATTTCTTTTCTTTTATTTTTTTGAGGTAGTTTCACTCTTATTGCCTAGGCTGGAGTGCAATGATGCAATCTTGGCTCACTGCACCCTCCACTTCCCAGGTTCAAGCAATTCTCCTGCCTCAACCTACCGAGTAGCTGGGATTACAGGCACCTGCCACCATGCCCAGCTAATGGGGTTTCACCATGTTGGCCAGGCTGGTCTTGAACTCCTGATCTCAGGTGATCTGCCTACCTCAGCCTGCCAAAGTGCTGGGATTACAGCTGTGAACCACCATACCCAACCAGATTTCAAATTTTTGATAAGGTATTTTGCCCTATGTCTTGTGGAATATGTATGTGTATTCTAATTTTGAGATTAAACCTATTTTGTAACAGGTTTAATGATTAGTAAATTATAAATTAAGAAACAGGCATTTTTTTCCCCCTAACTTGGTGGTTCTCAGTTGGAGGCAGTTTTGCTCACCACGTGACATTTGGCAATATATTTGGAGACATCATAGCTGGGGGTTGCTCCTGGAATCTAGTGGGTAGAGACCAGATGGCTTCCCACAATAAAGAATTATCTGAGCCACAATGTCAGTGATACTGAGGTTAAGAAGGCCTGGCTCATGAGACAGAAAAAGATGAGGGTTTTTTTTTTTTGGGGGGACGGAGTTTCACTCTTGTTACCCAGGCTGGAGTGCAATGGTGCGATCTCGGCTCACCGCAACCTCCGCCTCCTGGGTTCAGGCAATTCTCCTGCCGCAGCTTCCTGGGTAGCTGGGATTACAGGCACGCGCCACCATGCCCAGCAAATGTTTTTTGTATTTTTAGTAGAGATGGGGTTTCACCGTGTTGACCAGGATGGTCTCGATCTCTTGACCTCGTGATCCACCCGCCTCAGCCTCCCAAAGTGCTGGGATTACAGGCTTGAGCCACCGCGGCCGGCAGAGGATTTTTTTTTTTATAGTGATAGCAATTATGATGTTATAAAGTATTAGTAGTTGACAAAAATCACCAGTTTTTCTAAAAAGTCAACCTTAAACCTGCTCAAAAACTTTTTAATGTTCCTTTTTTCCTTACTCCATAAAAGAGACAGTAAATACTGTTTTAAGCCTGTATAATTTCTCAAGTATCTTTGAGTGTTGAAGAAATCTTAGAAAGAGCCTGGGCATGGTCCACGTCTATAATTTCAGCACTTTGGGAGGCTAAGGTGGGCCCATTACTTGAGCTCAGAAATTCGAGACCAGCTTGGGCAACAAAGTGAGATAACCCATCTTTACAAAAAATACAAAAATTAGCCAGGCATGATAGTGCACTCTGTAGTCCCATCTCAGGAGGCTGAGATGGGGGATCGTGTGTGTCTAAGAGGCAGGGATTGCAATGAGCTGGATCACACCACTGCACTCCAACTTGGGCAGCAGAGCCAGACACTGTCTTTTAAATCTTAGAATGTTTAAAAGTCCATCTCTCTACTGATAAGACATGCTAGCCCTCTATTTTGATTTGTAAAACCAGTGAGACTTCTAGAATCTGAGATGCATTGTAACGAGTAATGATCAAGAAATTTTCATAGAGGGCTGGGTGTAGTTGCTTATGCCTGTAATCCTAGCACTTTAGGAGGCTGAGGTGGGAGGATTGCTTGAGGCCAGGAGTTTGAAATCAGCCTGGGCAACAAAGTGAGACCTCCGTCTCAAAAAAAAATTTAAAACTTAGCCAGGAGTGGTGGTGTCTGGTGTGCATCTGTGGTCTTAGCTCCTTGGGAGGCTGAGGTGGGAGGACTGCCTGAGTTTGGGAGGTCAAGGATGCAGTGAGCCGAGGTTGTTTGCTACAGTCCAGCCCGAGCAACAAATAGAAACCCAGTCTCAAAAAAAAAAAAAAAAAGACTGGGTTCGGTGGCTCACGCCTCTAATCCCAGCACTTTGTGAGGCTGAGGCGGGCAGATCACCTAAGGTCAGTAGTTGAAGACCAACTTGGCCAACATGGTGAAACCTTGTATCTACTAAAAATACAAAAATTAGCCGGATGCAGTGGTGCACTGGGAATGTACATTTTTCTGGGGAAAGGGTTCACACTGTCATCATCAGAATTGAAAAAATGTGTGACCCATTCATGTACAAGGAAACTGAAGAAAGATCAAACTTTGATCTATTTGGTTTTCTTAGAAAATTAGGAATTTAAAAAACAGTTATGTTTTACCTAAAACAGCATGGACATGAATATGGATTTTATGTTACTTCCTCAGTTACTGCTTTGCTTTTAAGGTTGAAGATGAACCAAACAAAATTTGTGAAGCCGATCGAGTTGCCATTAAAGCCAACATAGTGCACTTGATGCTTAGCAGTCCAGAGCAAATTCAGAAACAGGTAATGTCGCTCTGCGTTTTAAATTGGCTCCTCTGTAAAGCTCTCATCTAATTAATCCTTTCCTCTCCTAGTTAAGTGATGCCATTAGCATTATTGGCAGAGAAGATTTTCCACAGAAATGGCCTGACTTATTGACAGAAATGGTGAATCGCTTTCAGAGTGGAGATTTCCATGTTATTAATGGAGTCCTCCGTACTGCACATTCATTATTTAAAAGGTATTGATGTATAGATTCATGTTTTCAAAATACTTTTTTAAGGTTTTATTTGCTTGTGTAAACAGTTATATTTTTGTGACTTGTTATTCCTTTAAATGTGATCATCCTAGAATGAGAGCAGAAGTTTCTCTGCTGTGTTCCTTCTGAGCTAAGATGTTTTTTCATATTGCTCTATTACCTATGAAATACTTAGTATTGATAAACTTTTTTTTTTTTTTTTTTTTTTTTTTTGAGACAGAGTTTCACTCTTGTTACCCAGGCTGGAGTGCAGTGGCGTGATCTTGGCTCACCGCAGCCTCCACCTCCTGGGTTCAGGCAATTCTCCTGCCTCAACCTCCTGAGTAGCTGGGATTATAGGCACGCGCCACCATGCCCAGCTAATGTTTTGTATTTTTAGTAGAGGCGGGGTTTCACCATGTTGACCAGGATGGTCTCGATCTCTTGACCTCTTGATCCACCTGCCTCGGCCTCCCAAAGTGCTGGGATTACAGGCTTGAGCCACTGCGCCCGACTAAACTTCTTGATTCCTTTAAAAAGAAAACCAGCCGGGCATGGTGGCTCATGTCTGTAATCCTAGCACTTTGGGAGGCCAAGGCAGGCAGATCGCCTGAGGTCAGGAATTTGAGACCAGCCTGGCCAACATGGTGAATCCCTGTCTCTGCTAAAAATATAAAAAAAAAAAAAACTAGCCAGGTGTGATGATGTGTGCCCATAATCCCAGCTACTCAGGAGACTGAGACAGGATAATCGCTTGAACCTGGGAGGTAGAGGTTGCAGTGAGCCAAGATCATGCCACTGCACTTCAGACTGGTCAACAGAGTGAGACGCCATCTCAAAAAAAGAAAACAAGAATTCCCTTTGAATTTTGGAAAACCGTCTATCTATAGATGTCCAATCAGCATCTATCCTTGAAGACCTAAAGTGAGTAAATTAAAAAAAAAAAACTTGTTAATTTACCTATTTTACCTTAATTTTCTAGATATCGTCATGAATTTAAGTCAAACGAGTTATGGACTGAAATTAAACTTGTTCTGGACGCCTTTGCCTTGCCTTTGACTAATCTTTTTAAGGTATGGAATGCATCTTGGTGATATTTTAAAAATAATGTTTTAAATTGCTTGAATATCTGTATACATATTAAGAGAATGCTTTGAAAGCTTATTTGATAGATAATGTTTAGAGGATTTCTTTAGAAAAATTTTAAACCTGCATAGAAATAGAGATGCTATAGAGAACTCCCATCTATTATTACACAAATTTAATGATTAGCAACATTTCTTTTTCTCTGTTCCCTTTCTAGAAATATTATAAAAGAAAATCCCAGGCATCGTATCACTTCACCCAAGTATTTTGAGTATGTGTTTCTAAAGGAAGAGATACATATTTTTATTTGGCTGTGTTTGGAATTTAATTAATTTACATATTTATGCAACATTTTACAGAGTATGGGATACTTTCCTAAATGTGTTCCTGGCCTTTGTGAGAATACTGTAAGATTGAAATAAATATATATAGTTTTTTTCTTTTTTTAAGAGAGACAGGATCTTGCTATGTTGCCCAGGCTGGAGTGCGTTGGCTATTCACAGGCACAATCCCACTACTGACCAGCACAGGAATTTTGACCTGCTCTGTTTCCAACCTGGACTGGTTCACCCCTCCTTAGGCAACCTGGTGGTCTCCTGCTCCTGGGAGGTCACCATATTGATGCCGAACTTAGTGCAGACACCCGATTAGCATAGCGCACTACAGTCCAGAACTCCTGGGCTCAAGCGATCCTACCACCTTTGCCTCCTGAATAGCTGGGAGTATAGGCACTCACCACTGCGCCCGGCTTTTTGCTTTTTTTTTTTCTTAGATGGAGTTTCACTCTTGTTGCCCAGGCTGGAGTGCAGTGACACAATCTTGGCTCACTGCAGCCTCCGCCCCTTGGGTTCAGGCAATTCTCCTGCCCCAGCCTCCCAAGTAGCCGAGATTACAGGCACGTACCACCACGCCCGGCTAATTTTTGTATTTTTGTAGAGACAGGGTTTGCTGTGTTGACCAGGTTGGTCTCGAGCTCTTGACCACAGGTAATCTGCCCATCTCGGCCTCCCCAAGTGCTGGGATTATAGATGTGAGCCACCACGCCCGGCCCTACTTTTTCATATTTTTAATAGAATGGGGTTTCGCCATGTTGCCCAGGCCAGTCTTGAACTCCTAAGCTAACAAGCATTCATCCGCCTCAGCCTCTCAAAGCACTAGGATGACAGGCATGAACCGCCACGTCTGGCCGCAAGAAATGTATTATTAACCCTTTTTATCTAGTAAGAGGATTCAGTATCACACAGCTAATAGAGAGCCAGATCTCAAATCTAGTTTTGTTGACTCCAGAAAAGCTATTTATTTCTTATTTTGAAAAAGCAAGGTTATATGATAATCAGTAATAAATGTAATAAAATGTACAGTGTGCACAGGGTTTTTCATAGGGTATCTCACTGGTGGTATATTTATGTCTTTAAGATTGAACAAAACTAGATCATTTGTTTTCACCTATTGGATTGGCAAAGATTTTTAAATTTCTTTTTTAAGATGTTAAAGATCTGACTGGCTGGGTGTGGTGGCTCATACTTGTAATCCTAGCACCTTGGGAGGCCAAGGTAGGCAGGTCACCTGAGGTCAGGAGTTCAAGACCAGCCTGACCAATAGGGAGAAATCCCGCCTCTACTAAAAATATAAAATTAGCTGGACGTGGTGGCGCGTGCCTGTAATCGCAGCTACTCGGGAAGGCTGAGGCAGGAGAATGACTTGCACCCTGGAGGTGGAGGTAGTAGTGAGCCGAGATTGCGCCACTGCACTTCAACCTGGGCAACACGAGCAAAACTCTGTCTCGAAAAACAAAAAGAGCATAGTGAAATGAACCCTCTGGTATCCTGTTCATTGGGTTATAAATAGTATTAGCTTTTTGGAGTTTGGCTTTTTATTAAGAAAACCTTAATATTCATATTTCCTAACTGTAGGATAAAGGAAATGATGTTTGTTGAGTGTCTTTTGCATGGTAGGTGTGTACAAAGTACTAGGACCTTTTTTGTGTATTTTTCATTTAATTCTCGTACTCTCTTTTGGAGGTAAGCGTTTGTCCCATATTATGATAAGGAAGTTGGGGCTCAGAGTAAAAAGACTTGCGTGCTTAAAGCGTTGCTCTTTATGAGTAACAGCTTGTGTTGTATACTGGCCTGTTTGGCCTCCAAACCTGCATACTGTGTTGCCGTGGTAATACGTGTCTAGAATTTCAGACCGTAACAATTGAAGGTATGCATAATGTAAAACCTGGTTCTGTTTGGGTTGTTATTTTTTTGTTTTTTGAGAGAATCTTGCTCTGTCGCCCAGGCTGGAGTACAAGTGGCGCGATCTCAGCTCACTGCAAACTCTGCCTCTTGGGTATAAGTGATCTTCCTGCCTCAGCCTCCCAAGTAGCTAGGATTACAGATGTGTACCACCACACCCCACTAATTTTTGTATTTTTAGTAGAGGCAGGTTCATGTTGCCCAGACTGGTCACAAACTCCTGACCTCAGGTGATCTGTCTGCCATGGCCTCCCAAAGTACTGAGATTACAAGCATGCGCCACTGCGCCCGACCAGTAAAACCTGTTAATTGCATTTAGAATAATAAAGTATTGGAAACAACCTAAATACCAAGTGGCAAAGGAATTGTTTAATAAGAGCATATAAAGATAGTTTTGTGTAATATATTTTTTTATATGCACAGATTGGGAAGATACAGTTCAGAATATTAACACTGGACTTTCTACTACCATTATGAACAATTGAAAAATATATACTTATTTTTTAGAATTCCTTAAGTGACTGTATACTACT